GCATCGCCATGTTCAAGTATCTTAGAGGTTATACAAATGATGTGTGTAGACATGCGAATTTTGAAGTGACTTCATCGTCCTTGCCCTGATGCTATCACTAGGCCTCCGCCAACACATCAGCATGCAAAAGTACGCAGTAACACTCACCACGACCTCACGACGATTAAAGGGTTACCTAAATTTAATCCTTAACCACATTATTTGTAAATACATCCTTTTCAACGAGAACCGGCAAGGAGAGGTAAGCTCCCTAACTAAACCTATGCTATCGATTGTGGAAAAGGAGATTACCTCGAAAATACCGCTATCTCCCATGTATCCCTCTATCCCGAATAATCGTTCCACAATGAGAATTTAAATAACAACAATTGGTTGCGTCAGCCCCACAGTGCGGTCAAAACCAAGCTTGACTTTTGAAGGTGAAGAGGAAAGTACTTTGATTCCAAGGGTAAAATCACATGCCGATATTACCTTTTTGCTAATCCTTGCAAAACTACTTTCCAATGACTAGTAAGCATCAGTACAGTATGGACACAGAATCAGTCAAAAAAGAGGAGAACCTAACCGAGAAGCTGGTGTGGAATGACCTTGGGGATAAAACACCCTCTGAGGGGTATATCAGGCTTGGCTTTTTTGTCACAAAAAAATGCCACTACTGCAACTTCACCCCTGCTTATCTGTTCGTCAGACGGCCGACCTCTAGCACGCAGTCGGGTAGAAGCGCCACGCCCTTTTACAGTGTTCAGCGCCTCGAGGTTGAGTTGTGATGCTGCCTTCGCTGAGGTGTTACTGCACTTAAAACCGCAAGATCACCTCACCCACGACCGTGTGTGTTCAAAGCCCAAAATCTACCTATATGCGGACCTGGACGTATGATGATGAACAAAGTAAATGTACACCCGTGGTGAGAAATTGTGGTAGTAGATAGGTCGCTCCTACTACTAACTACAAAATGTGGTGCCGCTAAGATGATCTTATCATCCAAAAAGTTAAAATGAAAGACTTGGATGGGCTTGAACACCCAAAGTACAACGAATCGCTATTCTTCTTTTCACTCAATGCAGTAATAAATCATTTGAAACTAAAAAAATGCCAACTTGTACTCTACAAACTTAATGCCCCTCTGGTGCTCTACTCGTCCCAATTGACGCAGTTCAATCCGTTGACTTGGGTCAAATAGGCCAACAAAAATCACGTGATCAAGCTTCAACTCTCAAATCGTATTGTTGGGTCGTATTTCAGTTTCTGTTCTCTCAAAGTATGAGATCACAGCCTAAACCGAAGGTGCAACTTCAGTTCACCAAAATCGCTAATGGCTCTACCGCTTTTGAATTTAGTGAAAAACGTGACAAAATTCTTGCCCAATTTAGATGAGTAAAGGAAGGAGCCAGCTTCAGATTCCTTCTCCTTTTTACTAATCTTTCTGGTAAAAAGGTGAAGAGTATGAAGAGTGGCGACCTTATAAATGACAACGATTACGTCAGGCGGCTAGAAATGTTGAAGCTCATTCTACAAGAGTGTTTGCGTGACAAATTTCATTTTCGCTAGACCTATGAACCTTGTTCGTAACTTGATCACGCACTAGGCGACAGAAGTAGCCTCAATCACTAAGCGTCCAACATCAGCAGCCAATGAGGGTCACAGGTAGCTTACATTAATTATACTATTTAAAAAAATGCCTTTTCATTTTAGACTGAAGGATGATGCTTATAAGGTAATCTTTATTCACTAACGAAAAGAGACAGCTAGAATCAACCCGAGGCATTCTACTGACTTACCGGGGGCCATGGAGTAGTCGAAGTTACAGTCAACCAAAGTGAGAAGTTGCAGTGATGCGTTTGGAGTGCCTTAGAGGCATGAAAGTCGGTTGAGTCTCGATAAGAGTGATATCGACCTTTCATGTTGCGGTGTCTGCAAAATCTTTATGATAAAAGGCAATAGGTAGGAAAGGGGAAAAAGGTCAAAGGTGACAGTACTTTTATCCAAGTCCTTACTCCCTAGACATCATTCAACTTCATCAACGCTTCCGCCGTGTAGATGCGGAATGTGTGAGCAATGCCTTTCAATGCTACTAAGCACAACCCTCCTCGAGTGGCTGCTTTACATCTTGTCAAATTCAAGAATTGAGGGGAATGAGGCTAAGACACCAGCATTAAACCCGTTCTTTATCTATAACTGAATTAGAAGTAAATTGAAGGATTTGCGTTTGCATATCAATGCTTCCCATAGATTAGCAACACCTGTGAACCTCAAATGGGTTTCGTGCAACACCTTGTGACTGCCTAGAAAGTTCACAAATAAACACATTCATTGTCAGTGTGTTTGTAGAAGTCGAGTTGTCATGCCAAAAGTGTATTTGGAGAATAAGAATTCAGTGACGAGCAGTTACTTGATCTTTCCATGAGATAAGAGCTATAGAAAAAGATGAGGAATGCGCGATCTCAAAGTGTCAACCACAGATAGTGCTCTGTCGATGATAAAAACTCTCGTAGTGATGGATGATCTGTTGGTTCTATCTTATAACAAAAACAACTCGTATGAGTCACAGTCATTTAATTAAAGCAGTCACGCATCACTCCAGGCAGCTAATACCATATGCATAGGTGCTCTCGGTGCAGATCACGTCAGTGATGCCACGTAATGTGAGCCTATTTGTAAGTTCGTTTCCATCGCTCTATCTCTCTTGCTCTCTTGCCACTTCTCACGGCAAAAACAGAAAGTGAGTCTTTATTCTGGAGTCACTAGGATGTCATTAATTCTCCAAATCTTGGGAATTATGAAGAGCGCTTCGCTGTTGACACAGTCATCTGCTACTTTTACGCATTTAGTCAGACACCCATCATCCAGAATGAGCCAAGCGTTCCCTCCGCCTTTACAATCACCTTAACTGAGCTCTCAATAAAGCACTGGTAAGGAATGCCCTCATCGACAATCCAGTGGAGGCCAACACATTGGGATAATACTTCTTTCGGACTGCATGTTCACTTCCCTTGTGGTAGTAATGAGACATAGAGCCCATGAAAATCAACGAAGGAATCGCAGCAGTGGTATGTGGATCCCATTGAAAACTTACTGCAGTTCGTGATATCACTGCAGCAATAGGGTACATTCGCACAGAAGACCGTAAAATTAAGCATCAATCCTACCTAAACGTAGAGACAGCGAATCACCCAACCACACAAGGCAACCTGCGATCACTGTGAATCAATCTGAACAGAGAATGAACCAAGTTGTCAGGAGATAAGAAATCGATTATGAAATGACTTAGCCTTCCTTGTCGAAAGATGATGACTTGAAATGGAGTCTTTCTGACAAATTACGACAGCCAGAGTAACTCGACAAGTTGCACATATTAGTTATTTCCCACATCTAGCGGTGCCGGTTTCCAGACGGATGATCGGCACATGGAGACACCTACCTCCTGCTACAAAGACAAAACTTGAAATATAGTAGGTTTAAATGATTTTTAGAAGGCTACCAGGTGCATTGACCTCCCAGATTTTCTGCATTAGTTCGACATCTCAACAACCAACCGGAAGCAACTGATTCCGTATCGAGCGCCGCGTCATTTGAGTGAATAAATCGCCTGTCAAATGCTAATTTTATCCCTGATCACTCCATACACACATACACACACACACACACACACTATCGGACATGCTCACAGGCGACTTAGTCCGACCGCTACGCCAAGTTTGGGGACATCATCACACCTCTGACAAGCCAATTTGTCAGCCTGGCCTAAGTATTTGCACTACTAGATCATGAGTTGCGATTAGCCGAAGGACAGAGCAACCCTACGCCAGCACAACTTATCTGGACGAATTTAAGCCAGGTAAAATGGGTGAGTAATCGTGGGTCTGCGACGAGATTAACCATGACCTCAAAGAACTTGATACGTGTCAACTACCAAGTCGTGGCAGCCGAGCCTCGTGTACCGGAGAGGGGGTATGACAACCAAGCGATTAAAATTTGATCACTAAAATGCCAAACCAGATTGGTAAAACTAAACCAGTCACAAAAAAACGCCAGCGTTGGTGACAATTTAATTTAGCCAATCGCTAAACATGGTAAACAAGTCCAGAACAGCTAGTGACAGACCAACACCACTACTTTAGGGCCTTTATCGCCAGTTTACCCACTCACGTCTTCAGTGATGCAGTGCTAATAACAAGTCAGCCTCATAAGCCCAGACAGTGTCACACATGCACTAACACACACAAACAGGAAAGCAACAGTAAAACAAATAACCGGTCACAGAAAAATAATAGTTTTAATTGCAGGTATGAGAAACGGACAGGTTAGCCGCAGAGGTGCGGAGCAGAGACGCACACTGCACGTGCAGGAGAAGTGAGTAAGAAGCTTTGCCTGCACATAGAAGAAATGAGGAAACGTCTGTCCTCCCTATTTTCTCTCCTTCGCAGCTAACCACACACGCTTTGACTAACAGGGGAGGCGATGGGAGAGGGTTAGACCGGAGCGACACGGAAATAGAGGAAATAGAAAGGAGACAGGGGCCCGGTGGCATTGATGACTGGCTTGCGGGCGGACACACAGGCAGGCACACAAGAGAGTGGATAGTGTAGAGCAGTTGCAGTATATACACAGGTGCCAAAAGAGATAAAGAGGAGGGGGACCCCACACCATGGCGGGCTGGACAGTCAGCAAAGCCAACATTATAAAACAAAAGTCCAGTAGGGAGCTAATGGGGTGTTTTGATGTACGTTTGCGGTGATGAGTTTAACTGAAGAAAGACTCAGAGACGGATAAACGAATGAGTGGACGGGGTCGAGTGGCATATGTTGATCTTCTTACTCTTTGTGAACACTGATCGTTGTGGAGGCGCGAACAAACGACAGCACACAAATGTGCCACAATCCAGGGCACATACACACAGAGCTAGATGGAGATAGATGAAGGCCAAGGCAACGTAACGCTGGTGAGGAGTAGATAAGTTTAAAACATTTGGGGTGAGGAAAGAGATGACCACGTGAAGAGAGTTAAGAGGTGGTTGTAAGGGTAGTATCATTCTTGTGATTCCTGTTACTCATGGATATGTTATTTTCTTCTACTTCTTCCGATACATGACCATTATGTCCGTCACCACCGTTGTCGAGAGGAGCTGCTGTCTCCATGTGCACTACTATTTCCCCATCTTCCTGCTTGACACTATTGTTGGAGGCAGTGGTTGCGGACTGCAGCATCTGCTGACGCTTTTTCCCAGCCAGCAGACCCTTCCAAACCGTTTCGGGACCAAGGGCTTGCATGACGTGTGCAAGGATGTTCTTCTGGTTCTGTGAAAGACTGGCGGCTAAACGAAGAGCCTCTGGATCGTCAGTGGGTAAAGCAAAGTCACAGTTGTCGAAGCCGTGGTGGTGATGGTGACGATGAAACCCCGACTCATGGTAGTTTAGACGATAGGGTTCAGTATCGGACGCTGATGAACCGGAAGAGGAACTGCCAGAACCCTCTCGAGAGAAGGCCTCACCACTGCTGGCACCTCCACCGCCGTCATAGTAGTTCATCCTATCACCCGCCAAGTATCCACCACCTCCACTACCGCTGCTTGGACTGGGATGCGCGTAGTGACCATAGGGATAGAAATTGGCATTTTCATTCGTAAAATGGCCACCTGGCACGCTCTAAAATGTAGGAAATAGCTTTTAGGAAGCAAGGAATAGACAGGAAAATTTTAACGTGCAACACAACGGAGCTCCTGATGTGAGGCTTGGTGACTTGATGATGCAAAACGACCCCGAACGAGAACGGAACCTCAGTTTGTAAAAGCTGCAGCTCTCCACAGATATGAAAAGAGTAGCGAAAGAAAAAAGCTGAAAAGCGCAACGGGCTAGAATGCGATACCAAGGCGCACTGAAGCGGATCGTTGAGCGGTTAAGTCACCGCAACAAGAACAGTGGATAGAAAGAAACCCGACATGAGTTAGGCAACGTAGTTCCGAGCAGGCACACAAACATGTAGAGATGCTAATACGCACACTGCACTATGTCCAAAAGTAATGAGACTGAAGTAAACAACAACAGGAGCAACGACAATAAGAGGAGGAGTTGGACCAAACCCGAGAGAAGGTGAGTGAACACATGCAGCAAACAGGCGTGACCACAAGGTTTACTTGGATAAAGGCAGACTGGGATGCCGGTGTGGGGGTGAGATCATACACATTGCCATCTCCCGCCTCCCCTTCCTCCTCCGACTCGAGGGGATGAACACAGTAGGACTGGTATCTAGGCTGCGATGATGAAGGCATATAATGCGCAGGGGGTTGAGAGAAGAAGGAGAACTCGCCCACCTGATGCAGCCCGTCATCCTCCGTGTAGGGATGATGCTGGTGGGGAGGCAGTTGATCGACTCCTAGTTCGCCGTCTGTTGAACTGAGGGCGGCGCCTGGAGGTCGTTGAAAGAGAGTGGCGGTGTCGGTAGGTGACACCTGGTGGCATGGATGCCGAAAAAATTGGCCCTCTAAAAAGTCGGCCGAGGCGCCAGTGATCCAAGGATGCTGAAGACACTCCCACGCCGTCGCACGCTGGTTGGGGTCATAGGCGAGCATAGGCTCCAGGAAAGATGTAAAGAGCTTTGCTTCTTGCAGCGGCCAATCATACTTCTGCACTAACACGCTCAGCAGATCCCACGGCTTTAGCACACGAATGTGGCGGAGACAAGCTATAGAAAGAATGTGTCGGGATAATGAGCATATATAAGCGATAAACTAGAAACAAGTGTAGCATAGGTTTACATACCACGCTTGTCGAAGAATTCGCGGGAGTACTTGCCCAGAGCGATAATGGAACGTGGAATGGGACCAAGGAGTTCAATGATATGTGCAAGATGGTCCTCGTCCCGAGAATACTCATCTCCCGTGTGCGGATCGAACAGGTAATCGCCTGTTGCTAGCTCAAACGCCTAGACGAGCGGCAATAAAATAGAATACCACTCGACTTAAAAATGATATTATTATGATTAAAACTTTACAGTTAGTTCATGACCGAGACAGTGAAATTGGGTCGCAACATTTTGTTGAAAAACAGTTTTCTTATGAAATCAGAGCAGGAGATTCGCTTTTAGTAGTTAAATACAAGTTTTGAAGGATGGCCCAGCAAAAAAAAACAACTTACTAGCGACATACCAATTATAACGTGATGAAAATAGAACAGGCACACTTACCCACCATGTATTGCTTAATTAGATCAGTAATGAGATGAAGCTAGGAGGGGGTTGAAACGACACGTACCGTGCATGCAGTGCTCCAGATATCCGCCGGTGTGCTGTAGCCCGCGCCGATGAGTACTTCCAAGGCTCGGTATTGGCGAGTTTGAATGTCCTCAGTAAATTTCTTATAGGTCCAGCAGGCGTTACCAAGATCAGCAATCTTGACTTCGATAGGACAAACCTCCCTGCTAGCGTCTGGTTCTTTGAAAATAGGCTCCAGGAGAAGGGAACGGCGTTTATCAATGAATCCAGCAGCACCGTTTGCCGTCACTGGACGGACAAACATACTAGCGCGCTTTGCCAGGGCAGCTTCATTGGGACCACCGTTGCCCCCTCTGTAAGCTTCTGCACTTAGCCGGAGAAGTGAATTAGTCGAGGATGTAGCGTTTTCAAACGGTGCCTTCTGGTTAGTTTCATCTGGTTCAAAGGCATTTTGCAATTCCTAGAAGACCAAATAATGGAAACAAACACAACTAAATAATACATGCACACTTTCCGTTGGTAAAAAATAGAGGTGAACTGGCGTTTAACGTCTTTCCCGCGGAAAATTATGCTCAACTTAATGAAGTCTTACCAAATTGCTCTTCCGATAAGTTCCAGAGAAGGACATACGGTTTAACCTCATTAGTTATAGATTAAGATGTCTTTGCGGAACCGACTGATTTTATGGAAGCGACTCAAATGCTAAAAGCATATTATAGTATCAAAGTCAAAACGACTTCAAAATTCACCAGAATGAAGAAATGGAGGAGACATTGTGTAGATGCAAAACGAACAACTGCGCAGAGGTATCGAAACGTACATCATTGGTGGATGAAGCCTTCATCTGTGTTGATGCATCCTCATGATTGTTGCGTTCTGGCAAGAGGAAAAAAAGACTAGAGTAGATGTAAAGCACATGACCAAGTAGAAGACAATAGGGAGATCACCAGGGAGTTTTCTAGGGGAACGCAATAAAAAATTAATAAATTTGCCCCAGCATAAAGGCAATTAACGGGGCAATAAGGCGTAGAGGTCGATTAGAAGCAGTGGTTGCTACGACTAAGAAAATGCACACGAAGGGCACAGTGAAGAGGCGTTCCGAATAGCAAATACCCTGCCAAGGCTAAACAGCACGACAATCGATGGAGGCGACAGATGATAACATTGCGATTTCACGATACCGCCGAGCAGTGCAAACAACAAGGCAGCTGACAAAACGAACGTAAGCGCGCTTACACTCGTAATAACACAGACGTACGCACCCACATTAACTGCATGCCTCCATCTCCTTCCAAAAACGCGCATACATACATAAACCAAAACAATCTCAACTAATCTGTTTGAAAGGAGTCAGAAACTGATAAGGTGCCACCGACACCACCTCGTTATGACTTTCGATCCAGTAAAAGGCATACGCAGATGCGAAAGAATGCTGCAATCTATCACTGCCAATAAAGAGACGAAGACCAAAGGTAGCCACACACGGCGAGATGCGGAATTGTCTATTAAGTGTGACTGTGCATTCAATATTAGTTAGAATCTTCGGCTAATAGAGCATGCGAGAGGCAGCATGGCGCATTCAATTATCGACCGAGGGTCACGTTTATCAACATCATCATCACGATCATCAAGAATGATCACTTTATCAACACCATTGTGAAATATTTCAAAATAAGTTTCCAAACAAAATGAAAAAGGCTGTTAGACTCGTCAGAGGCGACTATGAAAGTGGTAGCCCTCTTAAACGCTGAAACAGAAGCGTTGTAGACAATAGCGAGAGTTAAAAAAACATGGAGTAAAAGACAGAAATACGAACTTAGCAAGGTCAGAAAGCAGAGAGAGAACCGGGAACGGCATGGGGAGTGGAAAGAATAGAGCGAAAAACGTAGGGCTCACCCGAGGGAAGAATATGAGCCGAAGACTCGGCCTCGACGGGTGAAGATACTCCAGCTGTATCCTGATGTTCCGTTGACGACTTAGGATTGTCCGTACAGGCCGTATCGCCCTCGGCAGGTGGATAGAGAAGGCCCATTTCACGGAGACGTTGTTCCTGCTCACGACACTCAATCTCCTCCAATTCCTCAAACTCTTGCTCCAGTAGAGCCTGCTGTTTCTTCTGTTGCCTCTTCATACGCCGCTTCTGACCCTTACTCAGCTTGTTGTACAGCATCACCTCCTTTGGAGCAGTGCTCACTGAATTAGTGCAAAATGTTAAACAACTCACGAATCTTTAATCAACAGAACCTCCCATAGTCAAGGCAGTGAAACGCCAAAATTGCAAGTTAACCAGTCTCAGAAAAATGGCGACAGAATGTTAAACAGATTACTCCAAGTAGCTCACCAGCCGAGACTGACAACCTAACCCCACGTCTTTGGGCATCGATGGACTCGGCAGCGAGACGACGCACAGCTGAATCGGAAATAGCAACTAAAATGTTCTCAGGCTTAATATCCGTGTGGATGATTTGGCACTTCTCGTGAAGATAATGCAGCCCCTCAAGTGTCTAAAATATCGTAAACAAATTGATATACACACGCTAAAGGCCCAAAAACAAAACTTCAGCATGACACCCAAAACTTACCTGTTTAATTATTGTGCGAACGTTCTCAATTGGAATGCCACGATAGCCGGAGCGTATTATCAACTTCAGAAGATTATGACCCAGGACCTCGAAAACCATACAAACATCTACGAAATATAAAAATGGATTGTACACGTACGAAGCCCATTGACTCCGGAGACCCTAAATTCATCAAGCAATTGGACGGTTTTATTGCGAAATGGATGATCCGGATCGGCATCACGAACACAGGTCAGAAGCTTTATCTCATCAAGAGCAGTTTCTGTATAGTGAGCAGCGCTCTTGACTACCTTCATTGCAACAAATCTCTTGGCTACGAGATCCCAGCAGAGCCAAACAGTAGAGAAATGACCCCAACCAAGCTTTCGCACAACGTGGTAACGTCCATTATACATCTGCCCGATTTTGACTGGGTGATAGCCACCTTTGACGTAATCCTGTGGATCCTCCTGTTCATCGTTGTCACTACCCAGGACTCCTTCTTCCTCTGGATACTCATCAACTTCTGGTTCTTCCCGATCAGGAGGAAAGATACAAGATCCCATTAAATTAGGTTGGCCAGCATCTCCATTGCTAAAAAAGGACGTCATGTACCAGGCTAGTCTCGAATGCTACATACTTAGTAGTCGAAATCAACTACAACTTTCAAACAGACACTTCAATAGTGTAAAGAAAACAAGGCATTTAAAAACTTCCTCAGAAACTAAACCAAGATAGAGCCAATCATAGATCACCAATAATACATGCCAGATGTTAACTAATAACGATTTCAAGTACAAGCAGATGACCAGTAAACGACAGATCCAATCGGCACAAAAGGGATTTGTCAATCGAACAAGAGGCTCACCATTGTTTCCCAGTAACCTTTTGTTGCTTATTTTTATCCTTGTTCTTTTTCTTGTTCGGCATCGTAATCCACTTCACAACAAACACGAAAACTGAGAACTTGATTTATTGAGTGTAACCCAAGTTGTCAAAATCGCACTAGTACACACCAGAGTACGAATTCTTCATGCCAATGAAAATCAGTGAAGGATGATAATACAAATCAGTCAAAGAAGCCAGCGCGTGGATTAAAACAAACAGAATGCAAAACCAAAATAAATGATTTAAGAGACGTGGATAGGTAGAGCACTACTGATTACAAATCCCACGCTCTAATTTTGAACGCGAAGTTATGCAACTGTAGCTAAGTCAGGATTTGTCCAGCTGTGGACTTAATTAATTACAGCAGGAAATGTTTAATGGAACCAATGCTGCCGAAAGCTGCGTATTTTAAAAAGACCAAAGTGGGAGTTAAGCGGAAAGGTGTGAGAATATGGTATAGATAATGAACGGGGCCTACGTATCATGCCTGTCTGCTCCTAAAGATTTAGGCAATAAGCGATCATCCATGTAAAACGCCTGCTTATATTATTTGCCTTAATCTCGAATCCTTCTCCTTCTGGTCTTTGCACACAGATTTAACAAAGGCTTTGATCTACTTTAAGCATTTTTTGGCTTAAAAACTTTGCAAGATTTTGTTAAATTTGAATGGTAGTCGTCATTTGGTATTAATCTCTTCTGCTTGCTAATCATATTACTTTTAGTAATATGCACCGCCTTAATAGCCGGCTTCCTTCTCAAATTACTCGGTCATGTGAATACGACGTAATTATGCTTCTTACGTTTTAATCACTTAATGTCCAGGCAACAATATTGGATGCCTTACGATTTCGTTCCCTGTGCTTGTGTAGTGTCCGGGTGGGTTTAGTGATGTGGAACCGTTTTATTTATTTATTGCTACTGTAGAAAACCACACAATTGCTATGCTTCCTTATTCAAGATCTGTAAATATTTTCAAATTTTGGCACTGATTTGGTGGTTGAATTCGGTATTATCTCGGCTGACTGGACTATTTTCCTTGATAATTTGCAAAAGCTTTCACCTATTCCAACGTAAATATAGCCGGTTGGCTGCATATCAATTTTCTTCTGCCTGTTCAAACGAAAAAATACGTGTGATCATTCATCTTTCCAATAATTTGGAATCATTTGCAAACCAATTCAATAACAAATCGTAAATAACTATTGATAACCTATTTACTTCGTGTCCAGTTCATTCGAATTCACCACTTACTTCGTGGGATTATTTGGACATTTTATGCAGTTCCTTCAGTGAAGCATATAAACTCTGAGAAGATTATAAATCCACTTCTTTTAGGCCCCGGCAGCCTTTGAACTTTGTCTTAACCATAGATTTGATTCTTAAATTAACTGTGATAATTTCCATATGTTAGCTCTGATGGACAAACCCCAAATCATCGGACATCTTTACAAGGCTCTAAATTACACGCTTTTTGACTGTAAATGGCTCCCAGTTAGCACTAAATTTGTCGTGGTTGGTTCCAATCCACGTGACACTGGACAAATCCAAATCTACGACGTCACGACTGCCGATCTTAAGCTCATAACTGAGGTATGCCTCTTACTTACGTTTGTTCTATTTAACAGTAACATCAGTAGAAGCTATTTTATCTTCTCAGGCGGAGAAATCGAAGTCTTATAAATGCTGCACTTTTGGTGCAGCTCGTCTTCCCAACGCCCATCTCGCCACAGGGGCATTCGATGGTCGGATGGCAATCTGGGATTTGGATGATGGTGGCCGGCTGGACGCTCCACTCTACGCTGTCAAAGCTCACGAGGAGATAATCAACGCCATTGACGGTGTTGGTGGTTTAGGGATTGGTGAAGGAGCCCCTGAGATTGCTACGGGCTCTCGTGACGGTTTTGTGAAAGTCTGGGATCCTCGACAACCCAAAACTCCTGTAGTCACCATAGGACCCAGTGATGAAATGGGTGGTGACGGCACGAAGGCGGTGACTCCACGCGACTGCTGGACTCTGGCCTTCGGTCATGCCTACAACATTCATGATCGTTGCCTTGTAGCTGGCTACGACAATGGGGACATTAAGCTCTTCGATCTCCGAGCTATGCGTGTGCGGTGGGAGACAAATGTGCGCAATGGGGTGTGCTCGATTGAGTTTGATAGAAAGGACATAAACATGAATAAGCTCGTAGCGACCACACTAGAGTCGAGGATTCACGTCTTTGATATGCGCACGCAGCACCCCCAGCACGGTTTCGCTATGCTGACAGAGAAAGCGCACGACTCGACTGTGTGGCAGGTGCGCCATCTGCCACAACAGCGCGACATCTTTATGACCACGGGAGGGAATGGTTCGTTGTGCTTGTGGAAGTATCACTACCCAGTTAAGCGTCAGAGAATGGTGAAAATACCAGCTGGAGATGGAGAGAAGGAAGAGGAGGTGGCCGAAGGAGTAATGGGAAAGATTGAATTGCTGCAGAATATAACTCTGGCCTCCCAGCCTATAGCCAGTTTGGATTGGTGCAAGGAGAAGATGGGGTTGGCAGTGTGCGTCGGTTTTGATCAGGCACTTCGGCTACTTATTGTAACAAAATTAAATCGGATATGAAAGTAATGTCCCCCTCTTGTCTTCTCCCCACGTTCTTGTAAATATTGCCAATTCTCTGAACACTTTTCAACCGTTGATCACATCGTTTTTCTCTCTCCAAAGAGGGAACGACCTTGTACTTCGAAATTTCGCATTTGCATCATTTCATTAGCATTTCTGAGCAGTGGAAGTTCAATATCAAAGCTTCCAGGAAAAGCTTGCTATCATGGACCAGAATTCATTTTGCTCAATTTGGTGTGGTTAGTTGGTACATAATCGCAGGAAATAAGCGCCACATGTTTGTGAGGCTATTTGGAATAAATAAAAGAGGTTGAATTGAATACTCCATAAGATTCTGTTGTTTCGGAGGGTTGGTCAGGCGTTTATTTCTCGAATCTAATTCTAGGGTTTGCGTAATTAGCACATATCCACTGATTCGACCCAGTTATTTTCAGTCACTGGATGCACTTGTTGTACCTTTCCACTTGGTTGTAAATTTAGGTGCGAGTACTTATAGCGATAAACCTGTTGTCTACCTTATGAAGCCTGTTTTCATACAGAAATTGAACCTTTGTCCCACCGGACGCTTATTTTTACTTCTCTTAGCAACAAAATCGTCTCGTAATGGCTATCCAGGACCTGTTACGCAGGCACTCAAAGCCAACACATTTCTCAAAACTCAGAGCCTTTTTACATCTAGTAGGTAGAACTTCAACGTCAATGCAAACCACCTGCTAGTGGTAACACATCGCCTGCATCACCATCGAGATCGAAAAGCCTTCTTAGGGTTGAAATATCCTTCAGCCACTCCCTACCACTAGAATTAATTCTTATAAAAGCTTCGAAAGTTAGAATGTTTCCACCATTGCACCTCATCCCATCCGAATGCGGGGATCCGAAGGCCGCCGCGGTGACTTCGTGTCGATTCCTTAAACAGACAAGCAGGAATTGTACTCGTAATCTAAAGCTAACCTCGTTTGAGGTGAGAGCTAAAATAGAAATTAAAGGAATGGGGAGAGCGACATCTCCCCATCAACAAAAGGAGGCCTTTTGGCACCGATTGGTTAATTGTCAAATGTCTACAGACAAGTTTCTATTCTGTCAATGCTTCGGGTGGAAGTGTATGCTTGTTTAAGGATAGGCAGTAATTACAAAAGGGACCTCAACACAAATGAATGCATCCATTCTTTAACAGAAAACACCATAGCTAATTCCTCAGACATTTATCTTGTAAGTAGAAAATCATTTTAATTAAATTCGATCATAAAGTCAAATTTTAAAATGAGGTTTACCATCTTTCCTTCCACTCCACAAGCAATCCTGTTCTTCGCTTCAAATTCCTTCGAGCGCCACTTTCAAGGTTGAATGAGTCCCCCACAAAGGCCAAATTTGTTCCTCGCTGAAACAACGTACGCAGTACTCTTCTCACTCAGTGATTGATACTTCATTTTATAGCAAAAATGCTACTGATTTAGCGCAGTCACCTAAAAAATGAAGGTGAAATGGTGTGCCTTGTTGATATGCCTATAATGACAGAACAGGGGCGATTGTATTGGAGTTGTAGAAGGGTAAAAATTTTGTATAGAGTTAAGACCTTCAACTTACGTTGTTCAACACCTTGTATTCCCTTGCATTTCCCGTAGACATATACTTGCTTTGATCTCCCATTATCGACACAGAAAGTGTTTCAAGAATGAGCTAGGCTAGCCAAGAAGTTTTAAAGAGATTGTATTAGACGAATGCTATGGTGAAACAGCTATTATATTCATTGGATATTATCGGCGCTTCCCTGAAGTTGTCACGCAGTACATTGCGCGCCAAAAGCGAAGCATGCCAAGATCCTGTGATGTTGAAAACTTGGCTTCAATATGAATGCAAGCCTCAGAGAACAAGAATCACGTTAATGGTACTACGTACACTCCCTGAAATACACCACAATTTTAAAGTTTAAGAAGGTCTTCGTCAAAAGTTGGACTTCCGAACGCTCAATACTTCTTACAGTGTTTTTACTTTCTTGGCCTGCTTTGTGCACACATGTAATCATAGGCAAGACCTACACAGCTCAGGACGTCTTAATTTCTTGGGGACGGTGGTCAGGTTGGAAGAACAGTAGGTCACATGCCCCAGAATGTACGCGCTCACATAATCAGCATTGCAATTGTTGTTTTGATCTTCCTAAATAGTCGCCTTTGTTTGCTCGGGTTGAACATATTTATCTCTCTCTCTCTCTCTCGTTATGTAGACCACAATAGTGCGGCATCATAAAATGGGAACATGAACTTGATTAAGTGCACTATAAAATCCTTTAAGAGAGGCTGATAAGTTGGCAATGTACTGGGTCCAAACAGAGGCTGTAGAAGACCGAAATTATTCCAATCACCGGTTGTCACGATCTTGGAGGCTTCCAACGCAATTCAAAAATGAGGTGGAAATCATATCTCAAAAGACACATCTTATTGCGACACACACTCCTTACCATTATGTATTGTTAAGAGATACACGAAAATTTCTGCAAGATATAAACTGACGTTCAGTGTCCGTGGAGACTTCCATTTACGAGGCTTGTGGACAGAGTCGAACAGAACTGGTTGTATATTCCTGAGAGCCTCAAGGAGGGAATCGCAAATCAGAGGCTTTTGGTATGGCATTAAAAAGTAAATAAACCGTTTATCAAAAGCGAAAGTTGGCCAAAGTACTGAAGAAAAAAATTAGTTTTTGTCAAGCATAAATGTCAAGGCACTACCGTAAACTCCGAAAGATTCGGCGTTAATGATGACTAAGTAAGCTACTACATTTCCATTTTCCAGAGATGATACGGAAAGTCACTACATTGAAAGATGTTGGCTGCACCTAGTGGATGTACTCTCAGCTCTTCTGCCTTACGGAGCGCGGTGAAGTCAGCACAAAACTATTCTTGAGGAGAAGGAAAGGTACGAAGAACGATGGGAGCCTTTTGACCTGAATCACTAAGTGCTGATGAATTTCGTATACCTACTTTAAGATAAATGTTTCAAGCGATAAAAATATGTCAAGATTAAGTCAAACAGCGAATTGAATTTCTTACATCGACATTTGAAGGTTGGGTGGGTAAAAGGAGAGGAGGGGAAAGGTATCAGATGGTATGGAGTTAATGGTTGACACTTCTTTGTCTTTAGAACTCTTTGAATGGTCCTCCACTGCTCTTGGGTACCAATTCCTATAAAAGGCTTTCACCGCTTCACCACTCCGCTCCCAACTACGACAATTCGAATTAGCCACTCAATCCATGCGTCCTTGCCACGACAACGTCCGCAAATTCGAATGGGATAATGTGATACTGCGCCGGCCTGGCCTCCCAATTTACCTTAATAATTTTGCGAGTGCTGCTCCTTACCTCGATCCATCAACAATCCCATCAAGTATAAATGCTTAGCTGTTACTTAGGAGATGCGAAGAAAGCCTCTTAGAAGTTGGTTCATTTCCTGGGCTCCAGTTATGTGTAATCAACGGAAAATGTCTGTTACAGTAAAACCATCTGATGCATGACTTGAGCATATTCGTACAAATCCAACAATTAGGGCTCGAAGTAATGTGCTAGGACTTTAAATGGTGCATAGATTTCGGATTTAATAAAAGTCACGTGAGGACAACTCGCCGCCTTCCCCCAAATCTGCCCTTCTTAGCGTTAGAAAACAGCCCCAAACCCAAGAAAAAGTGCCTCATCGACATTTTACGAACCTAGTCTCCATACTTCAGAAAACAAGCGAGCGAGAGGAGACTGTACTCAGGAACCAGTTGTACCGATTTCTTGGCCTGCGAAGGAAAAGAAATGAAGTCTTATTTTAGGACAAACTCCTCTAATTACTCCGCCCACCCTTGCTAGCACCTCGTTTGTCTTCGCCATCTCTATCACCATCATATCATCATCTGATACAAAGAAAAGCATTCATCAAAGATAGAGCAAATGGAAAAAAACTATGATAGTACGGAATGTGGATAAAGTGAGGGACGTCTAGAATCGTCTAGAAGCGGCGGGGGCAGATTGCAGATCCTTCAACTGTCGAAGGATGTCGTCGAGACGTCGACGACGCTCTCGTTCAGGTCGCTTTGAGGATCCAACTAGAAGGAAGGTAGGGGTGTTATGGCGTCGCTTCTCCGCCTCACGAATGCATTCCAAGAGGGCAATCGCTGCTGCTGGAGCCACACGCTCGTATGGATTACCTAGAGTAGAGGAGAAGGAAGACCTTACTTGACAGATGCCACTGTCGTGCCAGGCAGCGTTAAAGGCATCCATAGAATGGCCCACTTGACAAAAGTGAACATGTGACTAGCTAATTAATGCTACCAACTTTGTTAAGGAGTTAAATGTGAGACGTTTTGATACAGTGAGGCCAAGGTGGACAATTGTTTGTTATGGGCCAAATCAGGGTATCACTCATCGATGTCAGGCAGTCAAAATGATGGAACGGTTTGCGACTGCAGTCTCGTAGTATTTTTGAAAAATATTAGTCTTTCCAGATGTTAAACAATTCCGCCCCCACCGCCCTCTACTCAATCCGATTCATTCTATCATCAGGTAACATTTGGAATTGTATAATTTGAGGTCATCACAAAAGCTTCTCAAAAATGTTGCTGCAGAACATTTGAAAGCGTGATGGCATCAGAAGTTATTAAAACAGTGATGGTGGCTCAATGAAAGCTGTGCAAGGGTTCAGATGACCTCCTATCCTGGTTGATGGTGAAGAATGATCTCTTTGCTCGACAGGGATACAAATCGTAGGAAGAATTTGCCTTTGTAGCAGTTATGTGAGGTGAAAGCGCAAAGGGAGGCTAAGGATGAACGGATTCAGTTGTTTTTTTGAAGCTACAATACAAAAACGATTCAGTTCGCTAGTAAACCATCAATTGACAATGCATTGTGAGGGTCAGTGGTGGCTTGAAAACAGCTACCATTACAGTGAATTTTCATTCTTCTCCTTTGTTCCCTTCTTATTCGATGCCGATCCAGGATAACTGGCATTTGGCGAATTCATTGTCAAATACTTAAGCCGATGGTGACACAATCACCGACTTTTATTGAATTTAAAGTAACGATGTGCACTTTCTGACCATCACACCCAACTTTCACTAAGGTCAGGAAGATTCCACCACCTCACGCAGAATCCTTCTCCACTTCCTCCCTCGAAATGAGGAGAAAGCATACTAAACTGGACCATGTGGCATTGCGCCCAACTTACGGCCTGCAACCTGACACGTCCACCTACCAGAGGCCAGAAGTCGTGACCTGTAAGGTTACTGAACAATAAATCAGCATTTCGTCTGCGTTGTGCATTATCTCTAGGTATGAAGGAAGTCCTTGATGGGGAGCTTTGAAGCCCCATAAAGATGGTTCTCATTAATGACCACCCGTTTCATCGATTCCTCAAAAACTAAAGCAAATAATCTGGTAGGGAAAGGAAACATTATGGCATCATAGAATGTTGGTTTGTCACGAAAAAACTGAAATTTAGGACTCTCTTTCCCCTGTCAGGCAGGAGACGTCGATCTCACCTGAGCTTTTCCCGTAAGTGGCGAAGAAGACACTCCAGTCACTGTTGCGTACAAGTTCAAGGAGTTGACGCAACTCACTGAAGATGAGGAGGAGGATAGACTTATCAATGCCTGGCACTGGATTGGAGCGCGCAAATTTATCACACTCCGCCAAATCGACCAGCATTTGGGAGAGCGCAGGCTCTGTCACCATTTTCACCTGTGCAATAGAAAGAACAGATGTTTTTAGCTACTTGACTGAAATGCTGCTTTCGGTCTCGTAGTTCGTCCGTGCCCATTTTTTCAGTGCAAAGCGTATCTCAGGTCGGTCCGGAGCTTGCAATAAAACTGTATAGTTCATTGTGGAATGGCCTGGCTACATCAGCGCCGACACTGATACAATGTCGGATCCTGGTAACTAAAGTCAAGGTCTGAATTCAGATTGGTGGTTTGTACTGAAGCGAAATCGAGATTGGATGACCCGATACCACCCGTGAATGGGAATCCCACAACAAGGGCATGAACATTTTCCGTTTATATGATACGTTTTGAGTTGATTACAATGAAAGCAAGCATACTGAGCAGCCGAGCTCTATTCCCAATGAGATGCCAACTTACTGAAGATCCAATTCAAAAAAAGGTGAGAAAATATTCACTTCTGCCTGCCTGAACACCTATCCCACCCTTACTTCGCGCTTGACAATTCAGAATGCGATTGTCAAAAGTCAGGTAAATGTGATGTTCATC